CCCCATACTTACCTAAACAAAATAGACCAAACCATAAGAGACTTCTTCTCCGGTCCCGACAACTCTCTTATATCCGGGTTACACTGTACAAATATATTGTTAGAATTTCTACTATAAATGTATTTTTATACTTCCATAGTGGTTATTGTGGGAATTCCCTATTTACCTAAACCTACTAGCATAACTAATGCTACCACCCCGTGTCAGAGTCGACCTGGCGATAACAGCAATTAAGAATTGGTTCCATGCTCCTCAAAACTTCCAACATTCATTGCTGCCGGATGTAGTTTATCGTCATACCCAGACTGTCACACGGGTAGCTGGAATATCTAATGAAAGAGTACCACTTTCGGCGTGGTGTAATAGTTAAAATCAGGTACAACTGAAAAGTGAGTTCGATCCTCACTAGATGCCCCATAAAAGCTATGCTTGGAAAATAAGGGACACCTCGGCGTGGTGTAATGGTTTAGCAAGCTAGTCTCCTTCTAGAACATACTACGACTGAGTTGAGTTCGATCCTCACTGGGTGCTCCATACTTCCGGCCTTGTGCCATAAGCCACGCTTAAAATAAATTGCAATGAATCTACTCAACCTTAATGATCTAGACATGTGATCTGGCTGGAATTTTCTACGATAACAGTGACGGAGTTTCAGGATTATATCCCATTTCAATGCAGGGGTTACCAGATGCATATCAAGCAGGTCAGTCCATAGTATTTATTAATAGTCAAAGCACCAGGTCCAGTCCCTTTAACATTCTGAAGTCATCAAGTTCTCCTGCAATGCGTCTAATTGAGACGTCCTTGATGGTCGTGATCGCCATCGAGCGCAATCAGGAATCGCGTAATTTTGAAAATAAAGTGACGTTTCTTGGGCAAGATAGCTTGACAGAGCTCAACACTTTCAGGCCGGTTTTAAATTCAAAGTTACTTTCACCTAGACTGGTTTGCCACCCAAGGCTATGGAGGCAAGTGTTGCTATTTACCCATAGCTCGCCGAGAGAAGAAGAGGATTCATACCGTTCACAGGTATTAGCACGTAAGTGAATGTAATATCACTGGAATTCGAACTCGGCTCTCCGATTCCTCAATCAGAGCCGCTATCCATTACTCCATTTTCTCTCAGTAGGTTGTCATTTCTTTCTGCGGTAGACCAGACAATAGATGGTCTGCATAGAAATAGTGTAAATAAATTTTAACCTCTCATCTGAGAAATTCGGACGGAAGTTGTTTTTTTTGTTTTTTTCTAAATAATGCAGGGAATATTTTGGCTAATTTGGAACAATTTTGGCGCGCTTACTCCAAACATGACACCCATTTTTTTTCATCATTAACTTTTCCTGCTCCAGAATAACATATCCTTCAAGAAAAATGTTCCTGATTGCGTTAGGTGATTCTAAACAAGAGTAAAAATAAATGCTCATTTGAAGCCTAAACGCAATCCTTGTGCGAAATAAAGGAAGACGATAAACTACATCCGCGTCCTGGATAAAACGATAAACTTCATCCCCTGTCCTGGGTAAGACGATAAGCGACATCCCCGTCCTGGGTAAGACGATAAACTACATCCGCGTCCTGGGTAAGTCGATAAACTACATCCGCGTCCTGGGTAAGACGATAAACGACATCCGCGTCCTAGGTAAGACGATAAACTAAATCCGCGTCCTGGGTAATACAATAAGCAAGGTCAGGAGGTTTTGAGGAGCGTGGATCCACCTCTTAATTGCTGGTGTTCCAAGGTTCACTCTGTTCCGGGGTGGTATCACCTGTTAGGAACCCAGATATGGGCAAATAGTTAACGCCCAAACTGGGGTCAAAGCCTGATAGTGTAAAAATAGGTTTTTATACCAGAAATAATTTTTTGCAAAAAATTACCAGCAATATTTTTTTAAAGGGAAAACAATTATTGCCAGCAATACATTTTTGAAAGCAAATATTACCAGCAATACATTTTGAAGAAAGAAAAGTATTGTCAGCAATGCATTTTGGGAAAAAAATATTACCAGCAATAAAAATTTTGTCGGCATTAAATAACCTATTGAGGTTGATAAACCGTAAAACAAAATAAAGCAACCAACCCAACCGAAATATGAAAGAGATATCACACAGTGAGTGATTAAAATTCGCATAGTCTTTTTCTCTTTCTACAGCTAGAGATAACTAACAAAGATGGACTTGATTTTTAAACTCAGCGTCCCATAATTAGCAAAGAAAACGTGTAAGCTAACTTGCACCAGAAGATGAGGCAGACAGTGTAATTGATTCATGTAAGAAATTTCAGAGCAAGTCGTAAAAGAACTGAATTTATATAGCCTATGTTTTAAATTAGACTAATGTTATGGAAATTCGGAGGTTAAACCCAAATTGCGAGTTTCGATTTCTCGTTAAAGCATTTTTATGTTCAACATTTTCTTTTTCTTCTTCAAAAATCTCATTATGGTTTAAATAAATAAGGAACATACAACTAATTAACTTTGGTTCCAGAAACAAAAGATTTTCTTGTCACCATCCCAAATATCTATATATTTGTTCCAGCAAATCTGTTTTCCAAGGTCTTTGATTTTTTTTATTTTAGTTGTCGTGTTTATTTCAAGTCCTCGATTGCGTTCTGCTGAAAGAGGATCGATAAACCGCTTAAACTGTAATTCATTTGTTAATTTTGCGTATGTATTCGAGCTACTCTGCGGAATAATGGTGGATTTCTGAGCGCAGCTTAAATATGGCACAAGGGCGAAAGTATGTGGCACTCTAGGAGGATCGAATTCATTGTTCCGTTGTTATATAACTAGCGAACCAGGCTTGTTAACCATAACACCACGAAATGAGAAATCGGAAACAGAGTTCGAATTTCGGTCGGGTACTTTGCATTCACTGATGTGGTATTTGGATCTTGCTGATGAGTTTTGTCATTTGGCTTTATCAAGGGAGGTAATGATAAAGTCAAAGGACAAAACGTGTTGGCAAGGATTAAGTTATATTTTTTGATTGTCTATTTTATTCAAGTTGTCTTCTCTGCAGATATATTCCCAGAGATTTAACACATTCACTGATGTGAAAATACCCTTTGGAAAATCATGAATCCATCTTTTCTACCTCCAGCTGTAGGTGAAATAGCAAAACAGACTGGATCCTATAGCCTTGGTTTACAGTCAGTCTACTACACAAAGAAACGGTAACCTATTGTGGGAAAATCTTCTAAATAATCAGTCATGTATCGAAAGAGACATGATCGCCCAAACGTGTATCAGGTAACAGTTGTGGATTCCGGGTTGAAATTCGGTCTCAAAATGAATGACAAACGCAGGAATAAAATATAGCAAATAAATATATTGACGTAATAATACAATTGGTAATACGGTTAGTAGATCCAGAAATGCGGTTAGTAGCAATAATAATATATATACAGTCTGGGAAATTCAGTATCGAAGTAGGACTTCCTTCTGAGTCTACGTGCTCGCAACTGTGACTCCTACAAAGCGGTTACCTCACACTCTCACTCTCACACTATCTCACCTCTCATTGTATCACTTCCGGTTATTCACCGGCTGCAGTACAAGTACACACTAGGCGAGTCCACTTGTATAAAAAAGGTTGGACCCCCTTAACAATGTATATCAATTAATGTACTAATTTCGATATTACCATTTTACGGTAATGTCAAACATTCTAGTTACCGATACATTTTGTTAATATTACCTCCTGTTGCTTAATCATGTCCGTTAAAAGGCTATTATTAAATATTTATTCTATTATCCTCTTATCACCGGAGTTAAGCAATGTCAAGCCCGGTTAGTTCCTAGATGAGTGACAGCTTAGACAATACCAGGTGGTATAAGTGTGAAGTTAAACAACGTTGGGCCTGGTCAGTACCTAGATGAGTGACTGCTCAGGAATACCTAGGCGCTGTAAACGTGGATGCGTTCGTCGGTTAATAGATAATGACTCAGGATTGTTAATCAATGGCTCGGGATTGTTAATCGGAGAGCCGAGCTACAATTCCAGTTGGGTTGGTTATATCCACTTAAGCAGCCTGTGGAAATATATTAATCCAACTCTTTTCCCCAGCTATGGATTAATTATTATCACTAACTCTTTATTATCTCAAAAAAATTTCTTCCAATCTGAAAATATTTTCGGGCTTTAAATAACCAGCAAAGGGTAGATAAGCTGTAAAAAAATTTTCAACTTTACCTACGCATAATGTATAAAGATTCGTATTCAAATTCCCGAGCATGCACACACGCTTAGTAAGGTTTCACGTGAGACAAAATATAATGTCGGTCGACGTTCCTCCATTGAAACATACCACTGAAGGACGAATTATTCGTTCGCGCACGCGTACTAATGTCAGTATTCCCAATAAAACGCGCGTGCGCATCGATGCAATGCCTTCTTCAATAAAATGATCGTCTAAGTAAAGACTCAACATCTATTAACAGTTAAATCGACAGCGTGAAGTCACCATTAGAAAATTGAAGTGAGCAACTTTTCGACATATTTCTTTTTTTTAATCATTCGCAATTCGATTCTAAGTTGTCAATCTTTCTTCGTACGAGTCTCTTTCTTTCTTGTTTTTTTTTTTTTTTTTGGTATCTTTCTCTGAACTGTGATTAACATACCCATGGTTTCTGCATCTTTTTTTCTTTAATACGATGTAGTACCTTTCATTTACTTCTTCAGACAGCAGCCATTTTTTTCTTTACTTTCTATATATATCTATAAGCCCTGACAGGTTTTCAATTTTACTTATATTTGCTGCTTATCTTTCTGACTTTTTTCTTCCCTCTTAAAAAAATCAACCTTTGTCTCCTTTTTAAATTCATCTTTTCCATTTCCTCTCTTTCTGCTTGCTTTATCTTTTCTTTCAACCTCGTTTTTTTTTTTTTTTATTCTTTTCTTAACGTTCTATTGCGTTTGGTACCACTTCCTTCTTTTTACCTTCCATACTTGTTTTTAACTTCCATTTTTATTAATTTTTTTAATTTTTTTTTCCTTTTCATATGCCTCTCTTTATCTTTCTTTCTTATTTCTTTCCTTTTTTTATCTTTTGTCCCATTCTCCCAAGATATTTTATTCCTTCTTCTATTCTTCAGTTGATTTACCTTTCTTTTTACTTCCGTTATTTTCCTTTCAGTTTTAATTTTCTTGTTTGCCTTCATATAACTTTTCGTCAGTTCTTCATATATTTTCTATTTTTCTCCTTTCTCTTTCTTCTTTCTTGCTTACTTTCATTTTTTTCTGGCTCGACTGTATTTCTTCCGACACAATTTTTTTTTTCTTCTCTTCCTTCTACTTTTGTTCACTTCTTGTGCTTTCATTATCTCCTTATTTTTCTTGTTCCCGTTTGCCGGAATCTTCGCTGCTTTTAATTCAAAACTTCGTTCTCCATTACCCTTCTGTATAATCCTTCTTTCCCGCCATTCTTCCTGTCTCTATTTCAGCCATTTCTTTTCCTCCATTTTTCACTTAAGTTATTCTTTTTCTTCATTAATTATTCCTTTTTTTTTTTCTACGGCTGTATTTCTTAATCATCATTTTCTTGTACTTAGATTCCATGTTCCTTTTCTTGCTTTCCTTCCTCCTTTAACTTCTTTTCTATCGTCAAGCTACTCGCTTTATTTCTTCTCATTGTACCACGTTTATTTTGTTCTTCATACAATTCTTGTTTCCGCCTTTTACATGAATTTCTTTAAATAATGTCCAACTTTTCGTCATCTCTTTTTCTTTGCTTCACATTTTACCTTCTTTATTTTTAGGATTTCTTTCCTTCTCTCTTATTTATTTTAATCTTTTCTTTCCAATATCTTTCATAATCTCTTCTCCCTTAAATCCCGTCTGTTTTTCTTTCTCTTATTTTACCAGAATACAATGAAGCAAACTTTCAACATTATCATCTTTCTCCTCCGCCGCTTACAGACAAACCCATTTACCCACTTGACCTACCATTTAGACTAAACCTCGAGTAATCAAATTCGTTTTGCATTTACTTCCATTGCTTTTTAAATTATTGGTAAAATCGCTGTGCCAAACTTTCTCTTCTGGAGAATTCTTAATGGATTATTCCTGTCATTGAAAAAAGTGCTGCAAGAAATCGAATAAGAGAAAAAATAGCAAAATGTTTTAAAGAAAAATGCATTGTTTTCGAAAAAATTTAAAATACTTTAGATTATCTTTGAAATGCTGGATAATTCTTTTCATCGAAAAGTGTGATAGCTTTAGGATAAAGAAAAGAAATGTATACTGTATATGTATATTCATACGCGGGGTCTTTCGGGATTTCTTTCTTTCGTTCTGTCTGTGAATTTAATTTTCTCAGAGATTCTTTTGCTTTCATTCTATAATTTCTTTCCACGTTTTTACCCGCATATATTTCTCTGATACCATTTCTTTTTATCTCTCTTTCTACTCATCTCATTCTCTAATAGTCTATCCGACATTCTTTCTTTATCAAATCTATTTGCTTTTACATGTATTCTTACCGTTATCATTCTTTCTTCCATATATATATATATATATACCGTAATTCCCCATATATAATACGCCATCATCCCTAATACGCACACCTAAAATTGTGCTGAAAGTTTGGAAAAATGCTTCTTTTCGTGCATAATACGCACCCCTTGTTTGGGAATCGAAACCGTATAAACTGTACTTTTGCAATTTCATTACGGCCAGCGTTTCCTACTCTTATTAAAAAAATGGTTTTAAACGTAGAATAATGTTGTTCTAATATAAATTTGATAATACTTATTTTACAGCAATTTCTTAAAGATTTTTTGTACCTGAGCATAATACGCACTCATTTTATAACTTTGTTGCTATATACATAATTGACAAAATTTGAAATTTATGTTTATTATTTTCATGGTAGAATATAGTTGTATTGTCGATTAATATCTGTCTAAATCATGAATGTGGACAGGAATACTCCATATTACTTTAAATGTTATGAGATTGACCAATATATATATATATATATATATATATATATATATATATATATATATATATATATATATATATATATATATATAGTTTAAAGTGTGCTCAATATCAAAAGGGCGTATGTAAATATAAATATAAAAGTGAACATTGAAGTCAAAGCGACAGGCTGTTTCATGCTAGACGCAATCTCTCTCTCTCTCTCTCTCTCTCTATATATATATATATATATATATATATATATATATATATATATATATATATATATATAAAATAACATTTTCTTTAAAGAAGATATGCTGCTTATATATATAAAGAAGTGCTGAAAATATATATTTTTATTTACATTTTGCATTTCAGGTTCTCGCGAGTTATATTATTGCTGAGGTGGTATATTATTGGATTTAAAATATTTAAATGAATTGTTGTTTAATTGTGAATTTGAAGTTAAGCTCAGATTAACATTTAAAATGGAAAATAAAACTGGAAATAAGAAATATCAATTCTAAATTTGGTTTTGAAAACATAAGTAAACACAAAAAGGCCCGTTGGAAAATCAAGGGGAGCAACTCTATTTATTTCCAAAAATCAAGAGAGTAAATGAAGATAATCTTACTAAACTGAAACTAATGATATCAAGAATATAGTATGACATAATAAAACAAAATAAATTAAAGAACTACTACTACTACTAATGCATATCGATGGAAAGAAAAGGATTTAAAATAAAATTAAAAAATATAGAATAAAATTAAAGCTTTATATAAGAACATATAAATGGTTAAAAAATACATTAAAATCAGTATCTGTCTATATTTCTGAGATGAGGTATTATGTACACTATTTACATTATTCGGAATATTGTCCTCATCGTTGTCGCCATATTTATTACAACGTTTCGGCCGTTGTACACTCCGGCCTTCTTCAGGTGATTTGAATGTCGAACGTCTTTATCCACTGTGACATGTGTCCATGTAACAGGACGCAAATATTGTGAGTTCAATACCCGGTTAAGGCAGTGGAGAACTTGCAGAGGGGAATTAACAGGAGATAACTGACAACTGACATCCATTAAAAGATGGTACCTGGAACTAGAACACTCTACCCCAGTGATCAAAATAAAAGGTTCAATTTCACATTAAAAGCACCTGACGAAGGACGGAGCGTACAACGGCCGAAACGTTGTAATAAATATGGCGACAAAGATGTGGACAACAGTCCGAATAATGTAAATAATGCGAACGGTCTGGTTGATGTGCGTACATAAATTGGCTAGAATTTTTGTTCCACTCTCCTAGCCTCTCCCCAGTTAAGGGAAAATCAAGCCTGTTTTAAGAAGTAGATTATTTGACGATAATACTGATTCTCTTGATAAAATTCCTACTCTTTAACCCACAGCGGGCGGAGATTGAGCTGGATTTATATATTTCCCAAATGTATTTCTCCATAAAGATAACTAACTCAACTGAAATCACGAGCCTTTATCCATTACGCCATCCTTTATCCATGTTTAAAGATATATCGCTAAATATACCGACCGACGACACTCAAATATTTCTGTCTGTCTCATTTCACTCGATCAAACCGTAGACTGTACTGTTTCACTATATCCCAGCTCGCCAATGCGACTAGACATCCGAATGCCTCAAGCCAGGATCGAAACAAAACCGTAAGTAAGAGTTTCTACCACTAAGCCATCATCATTCGGCAGAGAGAAACAGCTAATTCTAGCGTATTGTTTTTATGAATGTAGACAAACGCCAATCAGCTAGAGTGCTCCAATTCATTTTAATGAGGAGCGCAGGTGGCTGTTGTCTATCTCTCAACAGTGCTCAATTGAAATATATTTTCAAAACCTTAATTATGTCATTCTGAGACAGTACTGCTACTCTGTATCACTGCTCCTCAGTGCAACTAGACATCCGATATATATATATATATATATATATATATATATATATATATATATATATATATATATAAAAAGAATAACAAACCACTTTAAAGGTACCATTATGATAATTTATTTCGCCAGAGCCCTTTTAAAGGACGCCGGATCATCAGATAGCACTTTCCAAAATGAAATGAAACGAAAAATGAAATTAAAATTGATGGGTAGTGTAAGTTTTTGTAATTTAAGTCTTTAAAAGGGGTAGTTAGAGAGACATAGTAGAGTATAGGGAGGGATTAATTTCATATCTCTCTCAATCATACTTAGTATTTGCAGGTCGGGAACACTAGCATCAAGCAGACGCGGAAGTTTAATTGTCCGGGAAGCATCCTGACAGAAGATGGTAAGTGCGACAATGAGATCCGTAGACGTAACGTGCTAGCCAAGGACACATTTTACAAGCTAGACAGAGTATTGCGAGACAGGAGGATTTCTTGGTAACAAAGAAAAGAAGACTGAGCTGTTACCTGACATCTGTACTTCTTTAAGGCAGCGAATGTTGGACGATTTCCTCAAAGATGAAGAATAGACTCGAGGTGAAGAGATGTGGTTCCACGGAATAATGCTCAGGATATCATGGACCGAGCGTGTGAACAACAATGCGGTCTTAGATAGGTTGAAAACAAAGAGGAGGCTTATACTTAACATCAGGAAGAGGTCTCTGAAGTTTCTGGGACACAAGATGTCGAAAGAGGACCTGGAGAATATGATACTCACGGGGCGAATAGAGGGAAAGAGCGACAAGGGAAAACAACGCGTGACATACCCAGTAGAATTATTGAAGTGGATGACAGAACAATCTCTGGGGGGGGGATCAGAGGGAAGGAGTTTGTTGAGAGCTGCAAGGGATATCGGGAGGTGGGGAACCATGATCCCTTACGTCATGAAAGGACATGGTACATAAAAAGAAAGATCCCGGGACAGTCAGTCTAGGGCTGAAAAAGACTAGCATAATGTTGTCCCGGTTTAAAATAGACTACACTCACATGATGTAATTTTGAATTTTATATATATATATATATATATATATATATATATATATATATACAGAAAAATCCAAAATTACCTCATGTGAGTGTAGTCTATTATCTAAATTGCTAAAGCTATACCGCCCCTCCTCTTCGTGTAAAACTCTACGTACATCTCTTATCGCTTTACTTCCCCTCTTTTTTCTTTTTCCCATTTTTCTCCTTTTCCTTTCCACATATCATTTCCGTTGAGTTGACCGATTAAATAGGTCAATGTATGATCCTTAGCTTCTCCTTCCTTAATATTAATATTATAATAAAAAGAAATATAAAAATAGATTTTAAAACTCTCCCTTTTCCTCTCTAAATTCGACCATGTCTCTCCCACCATTCCTCACTACCTTCTATGTTATATAATCTTAATACCGCGCGTCAAAATTGTAAATTTTAATTTCATTTTTCGTTTCACCTTTTGAAAGTGATGTCTGAGGATCCAGGGAAAATTAAGTCTCTGGTGAAATAAACTATTACAATGGAGCCTTAAAGTGGCCTGTTTTTCTTTAAATTAAATTATTCGCTGTGAATTACCATTGAGCTCTAAGGATTTCATCCTTTTTGGAATTATCCATACGGATTACCAAGATTTTCTGTCTTATATATATATATATATATATATATATATATATATATATATTTATATATATATATATATGTGTGTGTGTGTTAGAACGTTTGTTTTTCTATCATGAAGAACGTCTATAGATTTTCATTTTAACTCCAGATTTCAACTGTAACTCACATATAAAATCCATTTTTGAAGAAACTGGAAAAATACT